GTCCGCAGCGCCAAAATTGGATTGCCCGGGTTTGCCTGGCGCGCAAGAGCCTGCATGAAGGCATTCCCAAATATCAAAGACTCCTCCTGACCCAAACGCGAAAAGTAGGCAGGATGACCTTCTCGTTCCAAGGCCCTGTCGAGAAGCTGTGCGCGTTCAAATATGGCCACACCAGGATCAAGGTCTGGATAGAATTCGACGTCTTCGCAAATGCCCGAAAGCTGAAGGAGTTCGGAGTTCGTTTCTTCCAGTACTGTATTCATCGTCAAAAGATCTGCCTGTAACGCCAAGGCCAGAGTACCTTCAGGTTGCGCCGGTAACGCTTTGATGCGCTCGATCATTCTATGAAGCGCTGCGATGTCTGAAGCTAGATCGCCAACGCGCACCATAGCCTGCTCATAGATTCGCGTCGCAGTTTTCAGCTCTCGGAGCTTTTCAAATGGCAAATCAGAAGCTTCAGCACGCGCTTTTTCGACCTTCAGATTCTGCAGTGATCGGTCTGCCTCAATGGCTTTCCCCTCGTGAACATGCAGGTGATAAAAACGGTTGTTCAGTGTTGCTTTAAGTGCGTTGCCATGCTCCTTTCCAGCACACTTCCAGCGACAACGCGGGCAATTGCGAACGCCTCCTGGAACAGGCGAAAAATCACCCGTAGCCTCCCGCAGCAAAGGACCACCGTTGTGGCATCCCGGGACACATGCGTTTCCGTCTAAAGGCCCCGTATTTCCACCCGCCAGACAAATTCCATCGAACATCTGCAACCATCCCATTGGGCTGCGATCTGCCGGATTAGCTGGTAAAACAGTTGTCCAATCGCCAGAGTTGAATGCCACGTGATCGCGCATTTGCTCCGCTTTGACGTTTCGCAGGGCATCAGTCAGTCGCGCTTCCTTGGTGGCATCCAGTTTCAAATGCGCGTTTGCTAAGGCATCTCGGATATCAGACAGACCAGGCTTGGTGTAGTAGAGGGTCATTAGCAAACGGACATGGCCGACGATCTTCATCATGAGCTCTGGCGGCATTCCCCCGTCCACGATGAAATGAGTGATCAGACTAACCCTGAGACCATGCAGCACGATTTCTGACCGCTTGGTCTCGGGATCGATAAATATGATTGGAGAACCATCCTCATGTGCTTCACCGGACGCAGCCAACATGTCTTCAAAAGCTTTTAGCAACCGCTGCCATGCGTGATCTATGTGGCCGTTACTTACCGGCAGGTGTTTTTCCCCTGCCACTTCGGGAGTACGAAATAAGAAGCATGTGTCGGGATAGGCGGCTTTCTGAGCCTGCGACATCGCGGAGAGTTGCCGCGCTGCGGGGACCTCTCCCCACGCCGATGGCCGCTGTATAGGGTTGTATTTTTCTTGCCAATTGCGCAAGCGTTCTAGCCAGTAATACGGGTTTTCGGTGATGTCTGTGGAATGAATCCATGGGCACTCCTGGCCTTTATCGGCACCTCGCTTGGCGATATCACTGGTTTTGTTGGTGTTGAAGTAAAGAATAGGAGCAGAGGTTGGGTCGTTAAGGCTTGTTGAAACCTGCCGTAAAATCCCCTGTCGCCAGGGATTGCGAGGCGTACCTTTCGCCATTGGCCCATCATTGGGAATCCACGTTCCGCTGCGGTAAATGAATGTGTCAGACTCACCGCTGTCCGAGCACCGCCATTGCCCAGTCCGTCCAGGCGTCTGGAGCTTCATAAGAATGACCGTCCAGCGTACTGGACTCCACATCTCCAGAAAAGTAGATCCATTCGACTTGGTCCTTACCCGCCAAACGCAGTCCGGGTCGTTTTCGTCGATGAGGTCTTTCGGGACTTCGAACCAGTCGTTACCGGTGGTTGCGCCGTCAAGTTGTAGTGATCCCAATAACGACTGAGCCAACGTCCAGTCTCGAAAATTTGGCCCACTTGCCAAAGTGGATCGTAGCTTGGCAATTAATCCGTATGCAACTACGATTTTGTTGCTTTCAGTGAGTCTGTAGAGGCCCACAGAGTTCACGTAGGGGATTGGGTTTTTAAAAACTCTGTTGCCACCACTGTCGGCGAAAGCCGGGGTTCTTAAAACCCATTCCAAAAAGAGATGCGCTTTGTTATTTAAGTCGATGCCGTGCGGAGTCTCTGAACAAACCACTTTGTGAAAGTTGGGCAGTACGACATCCTTGTCTAGAAACTTAAATGGGTCGGCCGGAAGCTGATAGGCATGAATGTATCGCTCGATCAAAAAAGTAATCGATTGGATGGCCTTGCCGAAATTTGACGTTTCCCCCTCCAGCCAGCCTTTTGCCAGCGGCCGCCACTCTTCCATGTCTGGATAGTCTCGCGATATCCAATCCAATTCTGTATCCTCCAGTTTTGAAAGTCTTGCGGGCGGATCTTTAGCACTACCGGCAATGACAGCTACTGCGTGCCAGTTTTTTGCAGTTGATGGCGTGCAACCAAGCTCTTTGGCGACTTTCGAAAAAGGCACGCCTCGTTCTATGGCCTTAATTGCTTGCCGTCTGACATCGTCGCTATATTTGGGAATGGAGTTGTGACCAGTCAGTACCTTTTGGATTAGCCTGAACGATACTTTCAACTCGCTTGCGATAACGTTGCGAGTCTTGCCAAGCGCATGTGCTTGTCGAATCGCTTCCGCTGTATCGGCATTTGCTAATACTTCGCCGCGTACCCATTTCGAGATTCGACCTGGACTGATTTGCAAAGCCCTGGCAACGGATGATGCTGATTCGCCTTTTTGAACACGCGCGATTGCTTCGCTCCGGATATTCATGGGAGTAGGTACTGCGGCACGGTTAACGTGTAAAGTCCAGTCGTAGATGGTGTCTTGGCTTATTCCAAGAGCTTTGGAGACCGAAGTCTTCGTTTCGCCACTCTCGACGCGTCGCACTGCTTCATCTCGTACAGCCTTAGGGTACCGAGCGCTTCTGGAGTCGGGAACGTTCGTGGTGGGTGCCCAGCGCTCTGCGGTGGACCTGTGAATGCCCATAGTCTGAGCTATTAAAGCGGTCGATTCGCCGGCTTTAACTCTGCGAATCACTTCTTCGCGAACTTCCTTTGGGTAATTTTTCTGCCCTTTTGGGGGGGCCAGATGTGGCATCCAGTTTTCAAGTGTGTCTTGGTGCATCCCCATCGCTTGGGCTACCGCCTGCTTTGACTCGCCCGACTCGATTCGGCGCGCGGCCTCTTGACGGACCTCAGCTGAATATCGTGGTTTTTGTTGGCGCATGCATATCAATCAAAGTCGCTCTTCAACTTTCACGCCGCAAGCAGGGTTGATCAATCGAGACAATGTAGCTTTCCCCGATTTTTATAGCAGCTTCATTCAGGGCCTTTATCGCCTCACCTCTTTCTGGCTGCGTGTACACAGCTTGACTATCCGGTGAACAATGGTGCATGACCCTTTGAATAATCAACGGGTTAACGCTGGCGCGCATCAGTCGGCGCCCATAAGCATGTCGGTGTCCGTGAGGGGTGGTACCAGAGGATTTTGAGTAAGTTAAACCGATTCGACCTACAGCCGAAGCATGTGCTCGAATGAAATGTTTGAGCGTATAAATATTGCCCGCAGTCTTGCTCTCAAGGTTAATGAATGCGAATGGATGATGTCGGGGCACACGCTGAACCTGCTCTAGGTAGCGCTCCCAGATCTGGAGGAATAGCTGACCGTACGCGACGTCCGGAAACCACCATGCTTGCATATAGTATTTGGCGTCCAAAGCGGGATTCTTCCAACCTGCCCGGTGACTGGCTCCTATTTGGTGTCGCGGCGTCAAACCGTATTCGTCTGCCAGGTACTGAGCCCTTGTTCCGCGCCGTCCATCTTGCTTACGCCAGTTAAGTGGAGCCACTCCATAAGAAGGATGGTGAATCGCAACGAAGGCTACGGTTGGATCGTCCCAGTGAGGCTGTACATCTCCCATGTAGAGATGAAATGGCTCAGACTCCCTAAAGCCTGCGCCGTGTAACAGCAGAGAGATAGCCATTCCACGCCAATCGTATCGTCCGGCCACCTTGAAGCCTTTAAATAACAGCTCTTCAAACCGGTCCTCTGGAAACTCTGGCTCCTGTCCATTGCTGATTTTTGGAGGTTTTGCACCACGCGTTAGCCGACCCACGCTATCTTTCTCAGGATTGTTGGACCAGGTGTGCCCAAGAAAAGCTTTGCTGCGCCGATATTGGTAGGCCCGCTCATCGATCCGCTGGTCGTAACTTCCGCCTTTGTATTTGGGGTTGAAACGCTCGGGGTGCATCCGACTGCGCGTGGCGCTGTCATCCTCGGCCGGCGGCCTTGTCATTGCTACCCAGTCCAAGAATTCGCTGAGCAAAACAACGTAATAGTCTACGTCTGGCCCCTGAAAAGGTTGCCAACACAGTCCGCTCGGGTCAAGCCCGGTTTCCTTGTCTATCGTTCCAAGTCTTAGTGCATTGGCGAAGTTTCGGAACAAACGCCACTCTTCCTGTTGTTCCGCATTAACCTCTAAATATTCCAGAAACAGGTGTACTGAGCGGAGGAGCTTGGTCATCCACGACAGACTTCTTCGCTTTTGAAGGCAGTAGTCAATAAGTGGAACCAAGGGGCCTATCGGTGTCATCAATATCGGAATCTCACTGACGGATCCGGTATTGTCAGAAACCACCTTGGCTCGAACAGTTACAAAGGACATTCATGGGCCCTCAAGCAGACGTATCTATACCGATATTCAACACCCTGCGACCCGTGGCCTAGGATCTATTTCGATCCAGTGCATAGCTAAGGTGTCCACCTTGAGCGTCCGGTGACGCTAGAGCAAGGATGACGCTTTGATCAAAGGTAAGTACGCTTGTGCGAATCTGCCTGTCAGGTCGTCAAGCTGCAGAAATTGCAGCTCTCAGAGCTTGAACTTGAACTTTGACTACGAGGTTGTACTATGTAAATTCGGGGTGGGTAAGTTCTTTTTTGTAAAAGAACTTGTCCCATTCTGCGATTAAAAATGCAAATGCCAAGATTGAACAAGGAACTATGGACAGTAATATGGGGGTAATAACCAATGATTCGTTCCTCAAGGGTGTTCCGGTACGCTCCATGTTCAAGGAGCGCCTGGTGCTGGCCCTTCATGAGCGATTCGGACTTTTCAAGGTCGACGAGCTCATCTGGAAAAACAACAGCAAGGCCCCAGGACCGATCGCATGGGCCAGCAAGGAGCGCTTTCTGCTCAACACGGGTTACGAGCCTATCCTCATCTTCACGAACGACCCGACGCGGATGTTCACCAGCAATCAGAGGGTGCTGCAGCCACACAGTGAAAGACACCTCAAGCTGATCGCCAAGGGCGGTGAGCAGCGCACCGCCAGTTACGGCGATGGCGCCAACCGCCTCAAGCCGGGTGCATTCGCGAATCCGACGGCAGGCAAGATCCCGAAAAACGTGCTGTCCTATGGCCATAAGTGCCCCAGCCAGGTCGGGCTGCGCAAGTTCGTTGCTGCCGAAGGTCTGCCTGCGCACGGTGCCACCTTCCCTTTGGCGCTGGCCAAGTTCCTTGTGCAATATCTCACCGAGCCAGAGCAGCTGGTTGCCGATCCATTTTCTGGTTGGTTCACTGCGCCGCTGGCGGCCGAGATGACCGGACGCAGGTGGGTAGGTTCGGAGCGGATGCTGCAATACATCGAAGGTGCGCGCTATCGCTTCAAAGACTGTGCTGGTTTTGACCCTGGGCACCGAAGTGCGACTTGAGAAAATGGAACAGACATTTGCGAGTTATTCAGTCGTGACACGGATAGCTGCGCCGGGCAGATTGCACTTGATTTTGCGATGGCATGAGGCAACATAGCAGTTAATTCTCAATGACTTGCAACGACGCAAACACCTGAAACCCAATTTCACAATGAACCCCGGTATATCGATGACTGGCCACGAACTCTACGCAAAATGGGAAAACTATCGTTCCTCACAAAAAACCCGGCGACCCATTGGCAAATCCAGTCTGGGACAGTTCGAGGTTGTGTGGGGCAAATGGCTTGCCCAATGCGCGGGCGACGGTTTGCGTTGGGAGGAGGCAACTTCAGAAGATGTCCAAAAGTTCCTTGCCGCAATCGCTCCCCGTAGCAAGCGTGGAAATCCGTCAACGTCGACGCTGACCGTTAACCGGTATTGGCGCAGCCTCTACGAACTCTACAACTTCGCAGTCATCAGTGAGCTCGTGACATCCAACCCTGCGGATCTACCCAAGAAGCCGAAGGCTACGGAGGTACTTTCACTTGCGCTGACACCCCAGCAATGGCAGGCGCTGAGTGATGGTCTGCCGGCCGGTTTTACGCCAAGAGAAAGGCGCACCCGCCTGATACTGCTTCTGACCATGCGCGCGGCACTGACCGTGAGCGAGCTGACGGAACTTACTGTCGACAACGTCAAAGAAGTTGTGAATCAGGCCAGCTTTGCTGAAACGGCCGCAGAGTCGGATGCCCCGCTATTTCAGCCTGAAAGTCCTCACTGGAAGGCGAACGAAGACCATCCGACATTTAGCCT